AGTCCTGATCTAGAATTGAGAGCCTGGACCCGCCGCTAGTGTATGAGTTTGATTCATAGTTGATCGATCTATCAAATGCGTGCATACAAACCGTGTTTCAATTGCTGTATGCTGTCAAAGCGTAATCCAAATCTTATAGATCAACCCGACCGGTGTCATCTATGATGTTTTCCTGTCTTCCCCAGCACCGGTCTCAGGCATCGACCGTTGGGAAAGCTCTCCGAAACGTCCAAGCGCATCTACATGAGCCTGAGCTGCTAATCTCTGATCTTGGAAGAGGGTGGTGGGTGAACCAGGCCCAAGTCCCACACAAACTCATGGTGTTAAGTCGATGTCAGCTTTTCATGATCCCACCCAACAATCAAAACAATTGACCCCTAACAGGTTTGCTCTGGAATGGCCTGTGAACAGCTTTAGTGCAACCCCCAAAGTCATGGCATGGCCCCACTGCCCCACCATGGGGACAAGCAAATCAAATACACATTCACACCAATCCAGACTCATCTGGTCAAGGATAGCATCTTGACATGTGCGTGTGGTTTCCTTGTGTGTGATGTTTTTATCGATCGACCAATATATACGCCGCATGTATTGTGCATGTTCGTGTATACGTGCTTGCGAATCCTTTGTTTCATGCATGCATGCATGCATGCATGCATGGCAAAGTTGAGTTGCCTTTCAACCAATGAGTGAGTTGAGTGTTTTGGACACCACAACACATCGCCTGCCAAGAAAACGTGTTTGATGCAAATCACACTCCAAGCAATTTCAGGGGTGCAACCATGTGTGATCATGATCGTGCATGTGTCGTCGTCGTATGAAAGCCCAGGGTGCATCTGCAACATCCGTGACCAATCTGTGAATCATAATGCCGATTTAGTAGTTGGTGGTTCAAATTTGCAATTTTCTGTAAGTTGCTACGTCCAGAGCGGGCTAAGCTGAGGATGTTGGGAGGCGTTTTGCCCAAGGCAAGACGCGTCGACTCGGGATGCTTCGTGGACGCAACCATTCCCGAGATTGGTGGCGGGCAATGTCAGAGGGGCCCGCAGCTTGCCATATTTCAGGAATTCATTTCATTTTCATGTTTGGCAACTAAGTGTGATATTTGAACGCATTGTGCGTGCATGTTGTTCAGTGCACTGTACCGCCATGCTCCTATTCATTATTCGTTGGGGAATCTTATGGCCGGGAGTTCATAGTCCTCAACGATAATGACCTCATTGAATCATGAGGCAATCGAAACCATCAAGTTGCCTATCAAATACACGGACTTGGCTGATGGTGAGGAAAAGCACTGTATCAAACAGTGGCCAATCATATACCCACATAGCATCATGTGCTTCCTCCTGGAGCGTGCAGGCCTGACAATACCATCTTCCAAGGTTCATGAGTATTGGAAGTTCAACCATGAGGTGGGTGAGGCATGGGCACAACACAGCGAATGGGACAGGATTCCTGTCGGTCTTTATGGGGACTCAGCCCGCGTAAACACTGCATTTGGATCTGAGCATGTTCTCGGTCTCTTTGTCAACCTGATATTGTGGACTCCGAGTAGCGTCCGCTGTTCTCGCTTTCTAGTCTTCGCCATTGGTGAGCACCAGCTTTGGAAGCACTTTACGATGGACTGTGTACTTCGCCACGTCACGTGGTCGTTGAATGCTCTTGTGGCAGGGGTGCACCCATCTCAGGGTCCATTCAATGAACCGTTGTCCCGCGGTCTTCATGCCCTTGCAAATCAGCCAATGTCATTCCGATGCCAAATCACAGAAGTCCGCGGGGACTGGTCGTGGCATAAAAAGCTTTGGCGCTTTTACCAGACAAGCTGGAATGGCATCAAGGTATGCCATTGGTGTTTGGCCAAAAGCAAGAGCCTTGATCGTCGGGAACTGTATTGGAGCTTTGACGAGCACTCGTGGAGCGGTGGATGTTTTGATCTGGAAGAGTTTGTTGCAGAACGAATGCCTCCACTACAACTTTGCGCCTTGGGAGCATACTTGATCTAGTGCCAGCGAATGTCGAAGCAAGCAATGGTATGCACGCATGCCCGTATGCCTGTGTAGGTCAGGATTACATGACATACGGATATGCCATTCAACTGTGCATCATGCATTTTGTGGATCCATGCATGCGTGCGAAAGCATGCATGCTCATGGGCACACAGGTAAAATAGATGTTGGCTCCTTTGCTTTTTGCAATCCTAAGGCCCTCTATTGGGATTGGCCCGCTTTGTTCCTTCCACTATTCGATGGTGCATGATGCACGTAGTCCACTTAGGGCTTTTGTACGTCGTCAACGGCAGTGGCCTGCAGCATGGCTCATACAGTACATAGTCTGTCGAACCGCACACGTTGTTTTCGACCCGGTTGTGTTCACCACATCACTTGCACCGTTCGTGACATGGCTGTGAATCTTGCGCGCGTAATGCACGCGTGCATGTTTGCCCACCATGATCATGTCATGTCAGACCAGGAACTTGCTACTACGACATGGTTACTTTGGAGGCGAGCATGAGAAAGTGGCGTTGAAGCTTGCCCGTGCACACAAGGCCTTCAAAGAGTGGTGCAGGCAAAACAAGATTGATTGCAGTCAGCCTGAGTTCAGAGAGAGCACAGTGACTAGTCAATCAATCTGCAAATTTGTGTACGCGTTGGAAACCTTGTTGTTTATCAACATTGGCCATAGCAACGTGTGTTCCGATTCCAGAAAATGATATGAAAACTGAATCTTTTTGCAAGTGTATTTTTGACTGCCAGTTCCATCTCTACTCTCTGACCATGATCCATGCAAGACAATCGATTTTGTGTCTTGTATTTTAGTCAGTGGGTGTGCGTTCTGCACTGTATTGCAACCAAGATCTTCAAGAAGGATGGCAGTGTCCTCTTCACGCTGAAGGCTTTCAATGGGCGATGTGTTCTGCAGTGGCTGTCCAACCTTCTACCTGCGGTTGCAAATGCATACACTGCGCGTGATCCACGAGCACCACTAATTGCAGCTGCCACGTGCTTTGGTTTAAGCTTTTGTGGCCTTCGAACATGTTGGCTTCAAAATCAGTGAAGGGGCGTTCTGTAATATCTTCCAGCTAGCAGCTATCTTGGTAGAGATTGTTGGTTGGCCTGCTTTGTGGTTTCGATTCAAGGTGCCACATGGCCCGCTTCATTACTCAATTGGAGTTGGCAGGGCGCTACTTGAATCTAGGCCTGCAAAAGATGTAGTCGATGAGACCAGTGTGGGGTAGATCAGAGGCTCTCTTCAATATTTAGCATGAGCTCAACAATGCATGCGTGATGCATGTTGCAGGAGCATGCATTGCACGGTACCTAGTGCCAGCATGCAGGATGTTGTTCATGCATGCACACGCGTGCGTGATGCAATCAGGAGTGCGCAGCAGTCGATGGACATCTACAAGGACGGCAAAAGGTTCCTGGACTTGTACTTGGTCCTATGCCGCATGAGCTTGAGGCCAGGATGGGTTCGGCATGCCTTTTTTTAAGCGATTCAAGTCGACATGTTGTGGCCACTGCTTTGCATTCTAATAGTGGCGGGTCTTCCTAAGTGAGCTGCGCTGAGGCAAAATATGCAAGAGTGGTTTATGCGACCTAAGTGCCATGTAGCTTGGCTGCTTTCCCGTTTGCGTCATTGACCGGCAAGTTGCACAATGGCATGTGATTGCATGAGTGTGGAGTGCACGGGTTAAAACAACCATTCACTGAGGGGCTGTACCACCTTCTTTGGTGCATCCGTGAGCGACGTGCCTTGTCAATTCCAGTGGTTTGTGGACTACATCGTATGACTTTTTGTTGCCTGCATGTGTGCGCACGCATGCATGTGCATGCATGTGCACAGCATCAATCCAGTGCTAGGATCCAACTGTCGTTTTTTCCACGGCTTCATTGATGAAGATTCGATGGCCTGGTTGAAAAGAGCCTTGGCAAGTTCCAAGCTAGTATGTTATTTGGCACAGCTTTTGAAACTAATCACGCACCCTATACCTCCATGGCTTTGCCAAAGTCGTGCATCATTCCATGCATAGCTGAGGAACCTATCTCCGAGCACATGCAAAGCATCGTGTAAATTGGATCATCAAGTGTTCAAAACTCAGGAGTGGTCGCTACATTGTAAAGTTTTTTTTGGCACAAGAGGACACGTTGGCATGCATCATACCGCTACTGCGTTGCGTGTGTGCGCAGGATCCTCTCGACAAAATTCAAGATCAATGCGTTACTTGGCTTTAAACAACTATGCCATATGCCGTGGCCTATTTGGAGCATATGTGGCCATGATTTACAGTGCAACCCCTGCATGATGTGTACGTATGCATATGAGCTGAACATAGCTGAACCTCCCTTCTTGCCAAGATTCTGGCCGGTCAGGTTCAACCGATCTGCAGCTCAACGGCTTGACCGGAAACGCTGAGAAGCGAAAAGCAGTGTTGGGAATGGATGGGGCATGCATTGATCACGTTCTTCTTCTACCTGGTCTTCCAACCACATGCCAAAGAAAGGTCGTTAACATAACCCCCTTTGTTGGTATCACATGGGCACTGTGGTTGGAAGGCCAGGGTATATAAACCAGTGACTGAATACTATACATAGACAATGAACTACCAAATGCTCCCAAAGCAGGAGCCAACAAATAAAACACCCGCCCTCCCTTCATTCCACGGGTCTATTTCCACACACCCTTGCTAGGACTACCCGCATTGCCTGGACTTGCGGCTGAAGCGGCGCCGAGCAGACTTTAGCCAAACCCGCAATCAAAATGATTCAAAATCCAACTTCCATGAACTCTCGTTGAATTCCTGTGCTTCCTCGGAACAAAAGTTGCTATAGTAACCTACTAGGTGGAGGCCAACGCCATTAGGTTGGAGGCCATCGCTACTAGTAACAAGGGTGCATTTCTACTAGTAGCTCGAAGCTACAGTTTGGCAAAACCCACGACCCAACCTTCCCTCTCGAAGAACATGACCGTTCCACCCGCCCGTCGTCGATGCCCCGAGCGGCCAGGGCCAGGTCGTTCACGCTGCTCTCCGCCTGGATCAACGAATGCCCCACACCTGCGGTGTGGTGTGGAAGCGGGTGGTCACTCGGTGGAAGCTCTAGGTGATGACTCGGTGGTTTGAACATGTTTGAAAGAGTTGATCAGAACAGAATCGTCTTCAGTTGTTGCACTGGATAGAAACCGCACCTGTTGCTTGCGGAAATCGCTTGTTCTGCCCAGATGACTTACAAGACTCAGAAGAATGAAATGAAAGAACTAAAACTGCAGCAAAAACAATAGGCATCATACTGTAGTTCCTTGACTCCTGGGCATAACAGCCGACCCGCACTCGGCTCCAAAAATCATCCATCTACGTCCAAAACATGTGGACGCAGCGACTGGCCGGAATCTCTGGTGTCTCAGCCTGCATGTCCCAAGGATCGAAACATGGAGCCTCCCTGAGGAACATCTGGTGGAAACATCGTGCGCTTCCAGGATTCTTGGAGCGACTGAAACAACAGACTTACAGAATGTGACTGTTATCACTGCAACGCTGAATACGAAGATGGATTTGTCTCAAAAGCCCGACCCCGACCAGCTCCACCGGAAGGCTCATTGAAGGCTCATGTTCCGCGTGCTGCCAGTGATTTTGTGGTACCTCCCCATTTTGAGAACAACATACTAATGTTGAGATCTCACGCATGTCATCGCCAGGATACGGTTTTGTTCTTGCTCGAAGGCTTCCTCAGCTGTGCTTGAGTATTGACTGTCCAAACGCACACGGCGGGTTGCAGTACAAGTACAAACATGTGTGTCCCACACCGCTTAGTTCTCAATAAATCTTGTGAGGAGGGTTGCGGGTTGCGGTCTAGACGTCTGAATTAATTGGCAAATCAGTAAGTCCATATAGGGAACTTCCGATCGTATGATGTTTTCGCTGAGCAATTGACTTTTGCATGTTCCTGAACTGTTGGATTGGTTGACACTCAAACATTGGGTTTGTGTCGAATCGGCTTGTCCCGAAAATGCGAGAAGTGTTCAACCATGCTGGGCGCCCACAAGAAAACAATAGAATACATGCAGTCGGTTCATAAGCTGTGGAAACATCTCAATCCAATGCCCACTTCTCCAAACCAGAGGTGGCATTTGGTCTTCCAAATTCACTGAGTTCTTTAACCCCACCCCTACCGGAGACAAAGCCAATTCGCCAAGTTCTACCATGTCCGAAACCACGGACCTCCTTTGGGCTCCTCAAAACCACCACGCCCACCGGTCGCGCTGATTTCACGGTCACTGGTCACTCAGGCGAGGTGCCCTCAGCATGGTGGACCGAAGCTCCTCGGTCTTCGCCTGACGCGACAGCTCTGCGGCCTCGTTCTGGGCCTCCTCGAGCTTCTCCTCGACGGCAAATGCTGCAGGTCCCCATGTGTCCCCAGTGGTGTGTTAGATGAATGAACCCTGATGCATGCTGCAGACCCTGCTTGATTGTAATTAAAACTTCATATGGAGGTTTCATCAAATAGTCGTGCACGTGAGGATCGTTGATCATCCCTTACTTCATAGAGTGTGTTTTCCTTTTTTTTTATAATGTAATGTAGTTTCATCTCCCTCATGACTCCACTAAGATGCACTGAGTCAACCAGACTCCTCAAACTCTCCAAACTGCTGCACCCCCCACCCTCACCCTCTGCGATCCGTCACCTGGGTCTCTCGGAAGCGCTGCAGGGCCGCCGCATGGCGTTGCTGTTGCAGGGCGAGGCCGTCGCGTAAGGCGGACAGCTCCACCTCCTGCTGTTGGATCAACGACGCTTGACCTGGGCTGGGCCGCCGGTGGGGCGGGATCAAGAAGCGGCTGTGAGGGCTGGAAATCGTTCATGAGGTTGAAAGGGGTGGAGGGGTGGGAGAAGTCATGAATTGATTTCAAAGACTCAGAATCTTGTGGAAATACCAGGTTGAGAGCCAGTCCCATCCAGTTGGATCATCCTTCAAATTCTCTCCTCCACGCACAAAGTCAGGCTCTCCCAGCCTTGGATCTTGTCCTGGTCCATGTCCGCCTGACGGATGAGGGTCAGGTTGGCAGGGACCCTCACCCAAGAAATATCATGTAGATTAATGTGGGCGGTCGGTGGACGTGGGGCACTTCCATCTGTTGGCATTCTCAGAGTACATGACACAAAGCCGACAAAAAAACCAAGTGCCCATTGACAAAATCCCTGTGGTGGCCTCCTTCAGAACTCCAGGCCCAAGGAGGATGAAGCTTGACAGCCCTTCAGAACTCTGGGTTCAATGCTTTTGCAAGCGTCCTCGTCTGAGACGATGATGACATCAGAAATGATAACAAATCCCTGCAAGCAGCATCGTATACATCCAACATCTTCCAACCCACCATGTCCCACGTCCTGTCCCATCCTCAGCTGCCACGCCTGGACCTCCAGTGTGCCGCCCCGCACGAGGTTCCGGCACGCGTCGGCCGAGGCGACGAGCCTCTCGTAGCTCTGCTGGGCGTGCAGCACTTGGGCGCGCAGGGTCGCAATGGTGGACCTGGGATGCTCGATGACCCATGAGAGGAAAAACCCATGGTCATGTGCCTTCGCGTCGGAATTCCGGTCGGGTGCCAAGAAAAGTGTTGTAGATGTGCCAAGCGATCAACATCCTTCTACCTAAAATTCATGGAAGCAAAGCGAGAACAATTTTTTCCTTTCTGATGTCATTAAACCCACTCCGACTCCAGGAACCACCAAATTTTTACCCCAAACAACACACATCCCACTCCAACCAAAGTGACTCCTGCGCGGCGCGCGTCCCCTTCATCGGCGCGAAGAGCTCCTCGGGCCGCGGCGCAGCGCCGCTCGGCGCCGCGGTGCCCGCGCGCGTGCCGGGAGCGGTGGGAACCACGGCGGCGCGTAGCGGCGCGGGGTCGAGCCTGGGAGCGGAGGGCAGTGTTGCGATGTTTCTATTTTGGAAACCTCTCAAAAGAGGGAACATAGATGGCCAATGAAGGTATTGAAGGAAAACGGCCCGCTTCAAAGGAATTTGGAGAACTAACTTGTTGCTTCAGGTTTCTCCTCCTTCAAAGCATTTCAGAAATGTGGGATTGAGGCCGTTTTTGGTGGCCAGACTTGACCTTGGCTGCGTGAGAATACAATATAGAATGTAAAACCTTTTGGAAACTGAGTCGGATGTGGGGGGTGGGTTGATGATGCTTGAGGATGTTTGACTAGGGATTTGGGATGGACGCACGTGGGCACCTTCGGTGAGAACTATGCAATCCATCCCTGCCATCTGAAGTCTCAAAGTACCCGTACCCAAATAAATGGGTGCCAAATTTATTGCAAGCAGGTGGATGATTTCACACCACTTTGTGTGCGTACTTTGAGGTTGAGCCTGGTCAGAATCCCAACCATGGCCGACACTCGTCAGTTGATTCAATGTTATATCCTTTTGCTGAAACTCCTAACGTCTATGGCATTGAACTTTGAACCGTGTATTGCTGATGTGTCTGTGTGTGTGACCTTCTCTGGCGGTTGTTTGTGGTGTTGTTTTGTGACTTGCTCATCCCAAACTTTAGCCCAGTCCTGTTTGCGTGTTTTTCTTTGTCACAGTCAGTCTGTCTCTTTCCAACATTGCATTACCACATATTACCACCACGACTATAGAAAACGATGGAACATGAATGAACACATCTCGGAATTGCTCACTTCCTCCATGCCCTGATTTGCCCTCCCCCTACAGCTCCTCTGGAACTCACCGCCCACCACTTCACTTGGGTGTGTATTATTACAGTAAGTAGGTAGACCTCCCAGGCGTTCCGACCCACTCAGGGCCAGGAATTCCCACTTGACTCGCCGAGGGCACATCCTGGCGCCCTTGGGCATCTTCGCGTAGCTGGACTCGCTGGGCGCGTTGGCCACACGCGCTGGGCCGCTGACGGACGAGACGGTGGGCTGGGCGTCCGCATTCGGGGCGGCCGACTGGAGGTTCTGCATCCTGGGGCGTCCAGAGGTTTGGGGCGTCGGGAGAGACATGGTGAGACCAAGTTGGTCCTTTTTGAAGGCAACATGTTCCAGTTGATAAAGAGTTCTTGATCAACCGAATCAACTTCAACAGTTGCAATTCAGCATGAGTGTTGTCAAAATTCGAGTCAAACATATACAGGTACCTCGACCATCCAATGACGTACTTTTTGAAGAATGTCCAATTTTCTTTGGTTTTGGTATGTTTTTTTGGTCGAGGCTATGATTTTTGGTTTTACCAATTTTCTGGAAACCAGGCACAACGGAAAACCAACTTTTTGAGTTCCCGGGCTTGTGAAGACAAACCTTGCCATGAAATTGCTCATGAGAGTTGAGAGCTGAGCTTACGCCGCTTACCGCAGAAGATGTTGGGGCGGTTTTGACAATCATCCCTTCAAACCGCGTGGCCGACAGAATGGTCATAGCCTCAGCGGTACACTTTGGCATGCAAGCGCTTTTTTTGTCTGTGACACGTCAATTCTTCACCTCTTTCAGGCAATATGCACAAATATAGCTTTACCTGCCCGCAACCTTGCAGCCCAACTGGTTCTGATAGCCTGTTGTGACTCCACCCCGCACCATGGAGCCACCTGAGTTTCCCAAATCTCTGGCGAAGGCTAGCTTTGAAGTCACGACAGCTGCACGCCAGCTCCAGCAGGATCTATATTTTTGTTGTGCTGCTGATTGTTTGTATTCTTTTGTGTGTCGCTCACTTGGTGATGAGGTCAGTGTGCTGTGCATTATATGATATGTGATTTAGAGGTTTTTTTTTGAGGTATTGAAATTCAATGAGGAGCTGTCAAAGAGCGTGGATGTGCAGAGCCGTGTCCATGGTTGCAAAGCACTCATCCTTTGGCCAGGGAAGGTCGGAGACATCAACGCTCGTAGCATCAAAGCCAATTTCCTTATTTTCAAGGTGATGGGGCGCTATGTGAATGCATCAAAGGGTGAGTTGCTGAGGGTGCCAGTGCTGGAATGGTGCTTCAAGTGCCTCAGAAAGTACTGGAAGGAGTGGCTTTTGGTAGAAGTCAAGAAACACCTAAGATACAATAACAACTGCGACAAGCGAACACAATCACCGGTAGAAACCTTGCATGTTCAAAATGACCGGTCTATTTTACACATAAAATTTCGAGTTGCGCAGGAGCAGCATAATTTGGACTATGCTTTGCCTAAGACAAAGACTGATGCGCGGTCGATCAAGAAACTCTGTCTGTATCTGCGCCGTCTTCGGCTACGAGCTGCCAACCAGCGGGATGACGATAACCAGGAGTTGGCAGAGTCTTGTCATTTCTGTTTGAGAGACGTTGTTTTTGTGTGCAATGTCTGTACTGTTTGTGAGACATTGTTTTTGTGTGCAATGTCTGTACTTGTTTGATACACATGTTTCCTTCCATAGCCATTTTGCGTGGAACCAAGGATTTGATGTTTGCCTATCTTCCTCAGCGTGAGGCAGGACAGGATGATGCAAATGACACGGACGTGGAAGCGATGCATGATGATGGGGACGACCAGGAGGGTGAGTGTGAGGATGAGCATGAGATTGAGAGCGGCGCAGAAGAGGATGCGTCCCCAACAGACATTCCCGATGGTGAGAAACCAGAGCCTGCTACACCTGTCGCCAACGGGGTTCCCAGCGGAGTGGATGCTGATGGAAGCTGCGGGCCAGGTCCCACAGAAGATGTTGGGCCGACTCTTCCGCCAGACTATGAATTGCCGGAGTGGGCGCAAGCTCCGCAATCAGTTTCCGAGACTGACTTTGCGGAATCTGGCCTTCAAACACTCCTGCTGCCACATGAGCAGCCTGAGTTGCTGGAAGCGCTTCATGTTGAGCCGCATCACTTGACAGCCAATGAGTCTTCTTCCCCGGGCAAGGACTCGCTAGATATTCTGAGAACAAATGAGAACTTCAAGCACCACATCTTGGACAATCTGGCTGAGCGCCTGAAAGCTGGAGTTCAACCGTCTGGGGATGAATGTGTGGAAGAGGTGGCAAGTTCTCAGGACAGACATGGACAAATCACATGTTTTCATGTTGGTGTTCACAAATTTGCCACATGTGTACTTTGCAACGGCTGTTCCATCAAGAAAAATATCATATATGGTTGTTTGGACTGACATCCCCTGTGTTGCAAAGGAGCCTGTCCAGATTGACAATGAACTTTTGGCTCCTGGTGCTCCGACATCAACCAGTCCGGCTTTGGGTCTTGACAAAGCAAGCGCACCAGGCAAGATCGCATGTGCTTGGTGTGGTTTGCATGTTTGCTGGCGCTAGTTCGCTGTTTCTCATAGAACCATTAGACTTTGTAATTGTTGTTTTCTTTTTTCGGCTTTGTGAAATTGGAGGCGGTTCGGCGGAGTTGATGCGGGAAGTCAACATGCTGAAGACCAAGCTGATGTCCAAAAAGGTTCAGAAGTTTAACCCAGATGTGATGGATACACTGCCAATGGATACTCAAGTCATCAATGATGCTTGTCAAACAATTGATTTGTTTGCACTTGATGTCTTGTCATTTGTTGCTGATGTAGCCATTGGCTACTTACTTTAGTTGCCGTGATATAGTCTCAGGAAGCGGTGGCAAGGGCAAAATCCGTGGGCAACTTCGACGAGGCAAGGACAACCGCATGCACAAACGTGCACGCTTGCGATCCTGATGCATGTGATGAATACAATATAATATAGTTATCGATCTATTTTCTTCTTTCATTGCCTTCTTGCAGGTCATGGAGATTCCAGATTCACAGGAAGTGCCTCTTGGACGCATAGGCAAAAATCAAGTCGAGATAGAAATTCAGAAAGTATAGCTCTCGTCAGGAAAGCTATGGATGTCGACTTTGACAGTTTTACGAGCCCAAAGCCTCTTCCAGCTGGGGCAGTGTCCAGCTTGCAGTTGGGAGTCCGGACTTTGCTGGAGTGCTCCTGTGCATGCCCTTGATTCTTCAAATACCTGAGGCTGGACCCTTTGAGGACTTGGACAAGGATGCATCGATGGTCAGGGTCAACGCCTCTGAGATCAACAACGGTCAGGACAAGGATGTCAGTGACGTCAGCATGCAGCTGTCAGAGATGTCACTCCAGTCACCCTCACCTGTTTCTCTGTTGGCACCCCTGCAAGATGCACCCACTGAGGCTGCCCAATCAAAGGTTCAAGCTCCAGGTTGTGAGATGCAGGTTGCTGATGTTGTCAAGGTTGCTGAGGAATTGAACCCTGCAGCAGAGTCTCCCCAGGAGCCCACCCAGAAGCCCGCTGAGGAATTGAACCTTCCAACAGAGTCTCCCCAGGAGCCCCCCC